TTCTATCTTCATTTGCTACTCACTTTGTTGTGTAGTAGTAGAGTCTGAATTCTTTTTGATAGCCTTTGATCCTGAACACATGGCACTTGCCTCCATAGACATACAGATGAGTATTTGCAGTGTCCAGTGATCATGTGTGATTCTGTTTTAAATACATATGTGTGATGGGACACATTCACACAGGGGTTCCAGCCCAGCAGAGTCAGGCTACAGGCACCTGACCCACTACAGGCACCTTGCCCACTGCATCTGGCCCGCATGTGTAACAGAGGAATGGGCGTGGGGCAGAGCAAACCTTGCATCAGTTGCTCCGAGATGGGAAAAATGATCCTGCTTTGTGAACACCGTGGCCACATTTGCTAAGGAGCCCAGGATTCGTTCTGGCATCCTTTACTCTGAGCAGTGCTTTGGTGGGAGGGAAATTCAGCCAGGAGAAGCCCTCTTCCTCTGTTAAACAGGAGGAGGGGGCCACAGCCCCATTGCAGAGCAGCTGCTCCGCATGCAGTGTTGCCAAGTGCAGCCCTTGGCTTCTCCAGTTCGAAGGGTCAGGTAGCAGCTAATGGAAAGGACTCCCGTCTGAAATTCTGGAGAGCACCGCTGCCAGCTCGCAAGGACAATACTGGGTTGATGGACAAACAGTCCCACGTGGCAGCTTTCTTCCTTCTCAACACCCAAACCTCACTCACAAGAGGCCCTTCCTATGCATAAGGATTTCAGGGTCAGAAGGCCACAAACTTATCTGCCTAAGCAAGTAGAATGAATATGGGTGAGTGGGTATAATTTTCCTTTTTACCTCCACACCTATTGGTTTTAATATGAACAAGGCAAACTGTTTTCAGAGTTACTGCTGCTACTGTCCCAGCAACTCATTAATGGTCATTATAGCACCTCTGCAGGAATTGTGAAATACAAAGCACAATTCTAAGGTCTTATTAAGGAGATAATCCACTGAGGTTCCATAAAGGAAACAGTATGAGTAACCTCAGGCAAATAATAAAAAAAGGGTGAAATGTTAACCATCCACATGACAGTATAGCCTCACAAAATTTGGTGTTTCATCACCTGGTACTTTCCATACTTTTACGATATTATCACTAAACAGAAATAAAACAGTCAATCACAAAATAACAGGTGTAATCAAGGACAGATCAAACTGAAAGTTGAGTGGGTGATTCCCCCCGCCCCCAGTTCATGATTCCTTTTATGAATGAGGTGCAAGCAATAAAACTGAGATACACAAACATTTGCAGAAGGAAAAATCAAATTAAAAAGAATTTTAGAGTTCCAGTTTAAGGGTCTTCTAGCACAGAGCAGGTTATGGTTCTTAGTTCAATCATGGTTTCATTTTTTTTAAGAGTCAAAATGTGTTTACACAACTGTGCAAGGTTGTGCTTTTATTGCTTTCACGTGTCCACTTTATTATTGTTAAAAGCTGCAAACATTTATGGATCAACAGTGAAAGAGATGCAGGAAAATTCACACCTTTTGGATTTTCATGAAAGACAGCCTCCCCAATTTAAACTAGATAGGGACAGCAATTGTGTCCCACAATTCCCTTTCTACCCCTGTACTTAGTTCTGTTCTTAAGCTAGGAAGGGAGTCCAAAATGTAATTAGCTTTGTCTAACATTATTTGGAAAGGCTGGAATGTCAAGAGGGACCACAGGAAAGGCAGAGACAAATTGGAGATGGAAGAGAAGAAGCAAGAGATCCTGCTGTGGCCTGTATTTTAGAGAAGCAACAGAAGGGTGGTACCTCCGACGGTTGCATCACTTGCTGCCTCAAGGATGGTGCCAAGGGTGGGCACGACGGCAACCTGCCAGGGGCCCACTGAGCCTCCTCCTCTCCACTGCAACCTGCTTTGTTCACCTGCCTCTTGCTTTGACTGAAATAGGAGTAGTAGTGAAAAGCAGGCACTGCTAAAGCTCACTGGTTCCCAAGCAAGCAGGTGGGAGCAAAGATGAGGAAAAATGGCAGCTGGGGGCAATGGCAGTGAGGAGGTTTGGTGAGTGTGCCTTGCGAAAGGCCCCTCCATACACCTGGACCCAGCACTGCTTGCCTGAATGGACGGGCCCCTTCCGGCAAGCAGTTTTTTTCTCTTCCATACGACACTCAAAATTAAGATCTATTATTTTGTGAATCAACGTGCACCCCTTTGTATTAGCTAATAATGTAACACCCACATAAAATCTTGGCCTACCTCCAGAATTTGGGGTTGACAATTCAGTTAAAATCACTGTTTAGAAGTCTGCTGTTTAAGATTTTGCACGAATATTTTGTGCTTTAGAGGAAAAGCGATAAGCATTGGTATTGCCTTTACTCATCATCATTTTGTTCATGGTGAAGGAGCACTTGAGACGAAAAAGTCATTAGCTGAGCTGGTTTTGAAAAATGCAGGCTGGATAGGAAAATAAATGAGCACAGGCTCTGAAATATCCAGAATTGCAGAACAACTAAATTTATGTAAATTGTGTATAGACCAAAACAACAACAACAACCCAGTGTTTGTGACTTACAGCTTGTCTGGGCTGCAACATGCTTCTGACTACAGATATGGTTATGGCAGAAGAATAACATGCTTCTTGGCATCCAAGACTGAGGAGAGATGTGATAGCGCTTGGCAAGTACTTGAAAGGCTGCCACTAAGAGGAAGGACATGATCTCTTCTTGATCATGCCAGAGTACAGGACAAGGAAAAGGGGCTCAAGTTACAGTAAGCCAGGTTCCGGCTTAACATCAGGAAGAACTTCAGGACTGTTAGAGCAGTATGACAATGGAACCAATGAATGAACTAGGGAAGTTGTGGGCTCTCCCACACTAGAGGCATTCAAGATGCAACTGGATAGCCATCTGTCAGGGATGCTTTAACTTGGTGTCCTACACTAAGCAGGTGGTTGGACCAAATGGTCCTCTGGCCCCTTCCAGCTCTACTAGTCTATATTCTATCCCTACCTGTCATGAAACTGGCAGGTTCACTCTCCTGAGAAGAATTAATTATACCAGGCATCATGAAAAAATGGCTGCCAATGGGAATGGTTTTCCATGTTGAGTTCTCTCCCTTCTCTGTATAAGACTGTCCTGTGACATCATTAGGTTGTTTATTACTCTTCTCCCTCCTATGGTTATCGTTGCAGAGAAATAGAAAGGTAAAATGTACCACTCCTATCTGTGAGGGGAAGACCTCAACATGGAGATACTATTTTTGATAACCTCGTCACATTTTTCATAACAAGTAAGTTTATCTTGGTGAAAAGATGCAAGGAGGGATAAAAGCTGGAAAGTTTATCAGTTTAGCTCAGTTTATCACGTTTTATAATCTGGAAAATTAAGTAGATTACATCTCCAAAAACTACAGTTTTATTTTATCTAAACACAACCATGACCCTGTAAAGTGTCTTGCCAGTATAATAGAAGCAGCCCTATGAAAAAGCGTTTACAGTATATCACAGAAGTGAGTACGCCCCTCACATTCTGTAAATATTTTATTATATCTTTTCATGTGACAACCCTGAAGAAATGACACTTTGCTGCAATGTAAAGTAGTGAGTATACATCTTGAATAACTGTGTAAATTTGCTGTCCCCTCAAAATAACTCAACACACAGCCATTAATGTCTAAACCGCTGGCAACAAAAGTGAGTACACTCCTAAGTGAAACTGTCCAAATTGGGCATTATTAGCCATTTTCCCTCCCCGGTGTCATGTGACTCGTTAGTGTTACAAGGTCTCGGGTGTGAATGGGGAGCAGGTGTGTTAAATTTGGTGTTCTCGCTCTCACTCTCTCACACTGGTCACTGGAAGTTCAACATGGCACTTCATGGCAAAGAACTCTCTGAGGATCTGAAAAAAAGAATTGCTGCTCCACATAAAGATGGCCCAGGCTATAAGAAGATTGCCAGGACCCTGAAACTGAGCTGCAGCACGGTGGCCAAGACCATACAGCGGTTTAACAGGACGGGTTCCACTCAGAACAGGCCTCACCATGGTCGACCAAAGAAGTTGAGTGCACATGCTCAGCATCATATCCAGAGGTTGGCTTTGGGAAATAGATGTATGAGTGCTGCCAGCATTGCTGCAGAGGTTGAAGGGGTGGTGGGTCAGCCAGTCAGTGCTCAGACCATATGCCGCACACTGCATCAAATTGGTCTGCAGGGCTGTCATCTCAAAAGGAAGCCTCTTCTAAAGATGATACACAAGAAAGCCTGCAAACAGTTTGCTGAAGACAAGCAGACTAAGGACATGGATTAGTGGAACCATGTCCTGTGGTCTGATGAGACCAAGATAAACTTATTTGGTTCAGATGGTGTCAAGCGTGTGTGGTGACAACCAGGTGAGGAGTACAAAGACAAGTGTGTCTTGCCTATAGCCAAGCATGGTGGTGGGAGTGTCATGGTCTGGGGCTGCATGAGTGCTGCCGGCACTGGGGAACTACAGTTCATTGAGGGAACCATGAATGCCAACATGTACTGTGATATACTGAAGCAGAGCATGATTCCCTCCCTTTGGAGACTGGGCCGCAGGGCAGTATTCCAACATGATAAAGACCCCAAACACACCTCCAAGATGACCACTGCCTTGCTAAAGGAGCTGGGGGTAAAGGTGATGGACTGGCCAAGTATGTCTTCAGACCTAAACCCTATTGAGCATCTGTGGGGCATCCTGAAACGGAAGGTGGAGGAGTGCAAGGTCTCTAACATCCACCAGCTCCGTGATGTCATCATGGAGGAGTGGAAGAGGACTCCAGTGGCAACATGTGAAGCTCTGGTGAACTCCACGCCCAAGAGGGTTAAGGCAGTGCTGGAAAATAATGGTGGCCACACAAAATATTGACACTTTGGGCCCAATTTGGACAGTTTCACTTAGGTTTGTGCTCACTTTTGTTGCCAGCGATTTAGACATTAATGGCTGTGTGTTGAGTTATTTTGAGGGGACAGCAAATTTACACTGTTATACAAGCTGTATACTCACTACTTTACAGTGTAGCAAAGTGTCATTTCTTCAGGGTTGCCACATGAAAAGATATAATAAAATATTTACAAAATGTGAGGGGTGTACTCACTTCTGTGATATACTGTATATCTCACAGGTTTAGAGAAATTTAAAATTGATTTATTGAATCTTTGAGATATTATGCCTTCCTACTGGTCAAAATGTATATGTCAAATATGCTGAGAAGGCTAAAATCATGTATCTTTTAAAGTGGGTAATAACTGTTTCTGATCCTCTGAGTAGAAATGGTAGTATTTTGTGTCCAAAAGGTATTCACCTGGGTTTATTTAATTTCCTTTTGTTTATTCATCTTAATGCTCTTGATTTAATGAATGATTTTTTAGCCCCAAGATCAAAGTAAAAATGGATATTCCTTTCCAATATCCTGTTTCAAAGAACTGTTTTCAAAAGCAGTCATTAATATCTTCCACACAAACAAAATAATAAACTTTAGTAATTCATTCTTCATTATACACTACTGTCAAAAGTTTCACTCATCCAATTAGAGTTTAAAAAAATCCCCATGACTCAGACACACCTCATAAAGCAGGAAAAGGAGATTCAAATGGCCAAAGGTGTCAAAGAACTCGTAACCATGTGACATGCTTTCCCACAAATTATATGGGGAGGTATAAATTAGAGGTACATTCTGTCTCTGAAATTCCTGGAACACTGGAGATGGGGTAGAAAAGAAATGCTATACAGTGAGGAGGGTGCCACCAAGAGCTGAGCTTTGGACTCATGGCAAGCCTTCTCTTGATGATCTCATAAGCCACAGAGGGCAGAACACAAGAAATTGCACCCATAAGAGCAGGAACGATGGGAAGCACCGCTGGCACGTCGAGCGCAGCAATCGCAACAGTTCGGCACTTGCCCTGGGATTCCATGCAGAAGGGCAGGTGCAACGATGCACTGTAGATCAATGCAGTGGGAGGAGAACAGTTAAGCGAGCACTGCTGCATATCCAACACGTATCTAACATCCCTTCTCTATGGCATGCGGAAACCCACTTGTCAAGATGGACTGTTAGTATGTTCCTGACTGGAGCTTCCATGCGGGGAGCAGATGACTATCTGCGGCTGTTCTTCTCTTTCTGTAACAACAGAAATGCTGGAAACCAGCCCAGGAAAGGAGAAGAGGGGAGGGATTTTAAACAGGGTTGACTTTTCAGTGACATAAAATGGTAACCGAACTACAAAAAGTGCAAATAGCAACTAGGCTGGTCCCAGGACATCCTGAACCGCAGACAATCGCAGCCTCCTTAGAGATGGCAAATCTTGTTTTGAGTTTGCACTGAAATCAAGGTGTTTGAAAAAGAAAAGAAAACAAAACAACTAAACAGAGGGAAGACACTAGTCTGCAGTGTTGCTGTAAACCAAATAGACTGATGAAAAAAGAATGGAGTATGCTATAAAAATTCATACCAACAGAACAGATATGGAAAAATGGAACATACAAATAGTTTTTTATATATCTGAAAAAAAAATAAAAATCTCATTTTGAGGCTCTGGAAGTCTTGATCACTTTGTTTTTCTTTAAAAAACAAACAAACAAAAACCTTAAAACACATGGCTTTACAAGCTGCTGCTCAGAAAATATACATCCCCAAGTCTGACTTTCATTTAAATACAAATGTACAAAATGTAAACCAAGACAATAGAGAAATTTACAAAACCTTTCCTTTAAAAATAATAAGGACAAAATTCAGTTCTAGTTATGATGCTGTTTTAAATACGTGCAAGTTGTCAGACTCTGATTTCTATTGCAATGTCCTGCAGAGACAACGTTGAGTCACAAGACCTCAAGTGCCACCTCCAAAAACAGACCTGAGAGGAAAATTCTTTGTAAAATGGGAGGTTCCGCTGGGAGGAACGGAGAGGAAAAGGTCTCCCTCAGTAGGAGACAGTTGATCTTCTAGCTCAATGGCAGTTGCTCTCTCATCCTTGACGCTCCAATACAATATAGTGGAAGGATGCAAAGTGCAGGTTCTCAAAAGCCGAGGCAGAACTAGCTGCTTCCAGTGGAGTTTGAACTTACATGATTGGAATTTATATGATGATTTAAATTGGCCTTTGAGTTTGGAGAACTCTTGGAATTGTTCTGATGCTGAAGTTTTGTTTTGTTTTTTAAAGAAAGAAAGAGGGAAGGAGGGAGGGAGAGAAGGGAGGGAGAGATCAAAAGTAAGTTACATTTCTTGATCTACATCTCTTTGTCCAGAATTCTCAAGGTGATTTATTATCTGCTTATGATGATCTATAAGAACTGTGAGTCTTGAAATCCATACTGTAATAAGAGAGGGAAAATGTAGTCTTTTAACAATATCTGGTTTTTCAAGCTTTCACAGTTCCTCTTAGGTAATCTATTTTCTGAAACTTGGTCAACACATTTGTCAACAGTAGGTCTCAGTTGTAAGACTTTTAAGCACATACTTGTAAGTTAATCCATCAGGTTCAGAATGCAAGGGCATGGGAAACACCATTCTTGATTTCTGCTTTCCAGTTATGAACTCTCTCCCACTACAGCATGCAATCCCCATATATTTTTGGAGTACAACTTCCACTGCTTATGGCCTTATGGCCAATGCTGCAGGCCAAAGGGAGCTGTAGGCCTTTGTACTTGCCTTTGCCTCTGGTCCTGCTATACCTTGCTAGGTATATGACCCCTGCCTGTGGCCCCACCGCATTATACCAAGGTTTCCATCTGCTGCCATCACCACTGCAGTGCTCCAGCAACAGACACCCGCTGCCTACATCCTGGACTGGATAAAATCAAAACTTAATTTATTTTGCTGGCTCAGAATTAAATCAAGAATGGATTGGGAAATATCCACAAATTTTATTCAAGTAAAATTGTGCTCTGCTGAGTCCATCAACCCTTCAAAATGGGATTACATGAATCTAAACAAACAAGCAAGCTATAATGTAAATGAGTTTAAACAAACAAACAATAATTCCTTGGCTCGCGGTGCACTAAAATCTGCCATGCTACCTTTCCACTTCAATGTTTCTGGCTTCTCTTTTCTTTTTCCAAGCTTTGGGCCAAAATGCACGTTAAGTTAAACATGCAGCTTGCACCTACATAGTTGTGTTTCTTTTTACTCTAAAGCAGGTGCAGGGTCTGATCCAGGTAAAGCAAATGAGCCGCCATTTTGTGATATAAAATGCAGGTCCTGGGCCCCCAGCTCGTGTCCCAGTCCAGACTGTCTCACCCTGCATCTACTGGAGAGTAAAAGTGGTGGCAGGGGAGTACAGTTACTGCTGCCTCTTTGAAGTAATGTCTGCTCTGGGACTCTCTTTATTTTATTCTTTTACTGAATTTATTAAATGCCTCTTCAAGACATTTCTCTAGGCATTTGATTATTATTATTATGTGTAGTAAAGCTACACATAAAATCACAATATAATCAGCAATATAAAACTAATAAATATGCCAACACAGCCCACGCTGGACATTCAGGTATAAGATGTAAAGCCACATTGCAAGGACTAGGGCAGTAATTTAAGAGGCTATAAAAGGGAGATCCCATGGTCCTGAGCCACTGCCTGATGGCTTCTGCTCTTCCTCCCACTCACCACCAGCATCAGCTACTTGCTGTGGTCAGGAAAGTAAACACAGATGGGGGAAATGAGGGCAGTTCAGGGGAAGGGAAAAGAGAAGACTGGGGGTTAGGTATCCTTAGGATGTGAAGTACCCTGTGTCCTTACCTTGCCCTCCAAATTGCCCCCAAAAAGGCAGGCAAAAAAAGGCCCTCTAACAAAAATGCAGAGCATGAAATTAAGGAGACGGTCACGCCCACTGATCCTCCTATTCTGCCCAGAATGGCCCTGAGCTAAGGAGCACACAGGCATTTCCTAGAACAGGAATCTCGTAGCCTGGGGCTGAAATGGCAGCAGTGTGGGTGCTGGGTGACTTTCCTTTGGCAGAGTCTCCTTAAATTCTGGCTGAACAAAGGGCTCCCAGCTTTGGTCTTGCTTCACTGCTAATGCCAAGGTCCCCAAATACAGCTCTGTGCTGAGAGATGCAGGTTCTTCTCACCCTCAGGAAACAAATGACTCTCCATCATTATTACAATACTGGAAATGCTGTTGTTCCAGCGACCTTGTGGTCATTCAGAAACAAGGGATGTGTCTGCTTAAAAGGAAGGGTATCTGCTCCTCTGAATAACTGGCTGCAACCAAGGGACAGTGCACCTTCAGTACAGGCAGGAAGGCCCAGGTTCATTTCTAGCTATTCTAGGCAGGGCTAGGAGTTAAGCCAGCCTGAAACTAGAGTTAATATAGGCAGGCACTTCTGGACAAGATGGACCAATAATGTGACTCGGGATAAGGCGGCTTGCTAGGTTCTGCCTGTCTCTTGGCTGCTTTCAGAGATGTGCTGCATATATATGACCCCAAGAAACAGTAAAGATTCCAGGAAGCAAAAGGCTGTTCAAGACAGCAGATTATTTCTAGAGCCAGTGGTTACAAACAGGCTATAAAATCCATTCAGTGGCATCCTCTCAGAATTGGCCTGTTACTCATTCCACAAGGCTGGGCTTAGCATCTCTGGGCTGTCCAGGAGATCCAGTTCCAGTTCCTGAATGTCCTCAGGGGCCACACGCCTTTGCCACTTCCAAACTCAGCAGTAGCAAAAAAAAACATCAGTTCGTACCCGAGCTTCTGTGGCAAACCACTACTGAGACTCCAAAGGACTATATTTAACTAGGAAACAAGCTAAGTTTGGCACTTGCGAGTCTTCGTAGTGGTTCGTCACAGAGCTGCAGCAGAAAGCTGTTGGGATGCTGTAGCACGGCAGTCGCCAATGCCAATTTTCAACAGCACAAGGAGCAGTGAAGGGAGGAGCCGGGGCCACACTCAAGGCCCTGGGGAGCCCCACACAGCCCACAGAGCACCTATTTCCCACCCCTGTTCTATAATGACGAGAAATGTCATTAGAGATTTCCAAATCTAATCCTCACCTTTCTTCCTATACTGCATTTGTGAAACAGTGCCTAGATCAAGGCTAATGAATAAGCATATTATATGTGAAAACCTATTTCCATTTTGAATGCCTTTATTCATTTGAGTATAGAGGCTCTCACCTGACGTTTAAATATTCTATGCAGCAATCCTTTCTTCGGTGGTTCCGGTGGGTAGCTTTTGTTAAGGTCTGGTGAGATAGTACCATTTGGTCCAAATACATTTAGTTCTTTAAAGCACTCTGTTTCTATCATCTAGTAAAATGAAAAGAAAAGAATACACTCGCATTTATTTAACACAGAAGCCTGGGTAGGAGTAGAGCAAGCAGAGGAAAATGGAATTCCTGCCCCAAGACATGCAGAACTTATAACAAGTGAACATGGTGTATCCAGCTAAGAAAATAATCTATTTATTAGATACCAGAAAGCTAGTTTACTGGTCTGCTTACTTTTGCTATCACACCATTTCCAGCAAAAAGTGATCTTTAACCTGTTTTTGTTTTACTTGCTATATCAGCCTTCCCCCAATCTTGTGCCTTCCAGATGTGTTGGCCTGTAACTTACATCATCCTATTAGCCATGCTAGCTGGACATGACAACACATCTGGAGGGCATGAGGGTGGAGAAGACTAATCCACACCTTCCCTTTCATATGTGGAACATCATTTCTGAATCTCTGCTAGAGAGCACGGACACTGAGGTCAATGAAAGAACCCACAGAGGCTTACAAGAAAGACCTCAGGTCCTTGTCAAACAGCAGAAATCTCAGCCCTTGACCATGCATTCATAGGAAGCCATTCACGTTCTGGAAATGCTCCATACACCTGATGCTGAGCATGGTCATCCTTCAAAGGTATGCTTTCCCCTTCCCTTGGCAGCATCAGGGCCTCTTATAGTGAAAAAAATGCTAGCAGAAAGCATGGTATGGAGCTCTAAAGAAGTATTGCTTGAGAGCATTTGTTTCATGGTTTTACTCAGTCTGACCAAAAAAGGTGTCTCATCCAGGCCATTGTTAACAGCTAGTGGGGGCGTGACCACACTGTCCTTTTTCATGCCTTCTCAATCCATGATACAGATGGTAAACAGGCATGAGGCACCTCTTACATGATAGTGTTTTCTGTTCTTCTGCTTGTGACACACTAAGCTCTGGTTCGGTTGCATCTGTTAGCCATGGTCCATATCTGAAAGCCATGGCTGAAAGTTAGGGAAGGCTGGTCCATACCTTTCCCATCACTGTTCACAGCAGCTATGCACTTCATGTGCCCTGTCACACTGATTGTAAAAGGCCACACACGAGTACAGCGGTGAACAGAAGGGCAACCATACAAGAACCAGTTCACCTTCTGCAAACATCACAAGCAGTTCCTTAAGAGAGATGACTATGGGGCAGTTTCTTTGGTGGATGCTTGGCCAACTACAATAGTCTGACAGTTTACCACAGGGACTCATTCTGGAGGACAAGGCAATCATTCTGACTACCTTTGTCATATTTATTGGCTCCCATGCTACATAAAATGCGAGGTGAAAAGGCTATGCCAACCTGTTCCCACATACAGAAAGACGAGAACAAAGTGCTCATCACTGAATCCTGGATGATTGACATGGAGGCAGAGCATCACGACAGCAGACAGATCTTTGTCACAAATGTCTCCAGGAGGAAGCAGTATCTCATGGCCTTTGTAAACATTCCTCAGGCGTGACAGTCAGAAGAGAGAGGCACGTGCAATGCTAAATTGGGTGCCAGTGTGGTGAAGCGGCTAGAGACTTGGGAGATCTACATTCTACTCCTCAGTGGGCTATTTTGAGCTGGTCACTCAGTCTAGTCTATCTCACAGGAATTGTTGCGAGGATACAATAGAGAAGTGAAGTTTCACGTAAGCTACCTCGGGGTCTTTGCAAGGGGAAAAACTGGGGTATACATGTAATAAATAACAGTTCTGGAAGAGATCAACTAATATAGTGGCCTAGCTGAGATATTCCCAACCCCTTAAAAATGAATATACACGATCTAGCAAGGGAGCCACAACTAGCAGAAGACCCCCAGGTGCGTTATGCTCACATGTTTCCTTAAAAATAACCCATGATTCATATTACCATATTTTTCGCTCTATAAGACGCACTTTTTTCCCCTTCAAAAGTAAGGGGAAATGTCTGTGAGCCTTATAGAGCGCATGTGTGTGTGCCCGATGCCCGGGATGCTGCCAGCCCGCCTGCACCACATGGGCACCACCTGGCCGGCACACACTCGGCGCACGCTGCTCCGCCCCCTCCCCCGGCGCAGGTGAGAGCTGTGCTGCTCAGGGGGAGTGGTGCGGAGGAGGAGGAGCCGCGGGCTTTAACCCGCCAGCCGCACGGAGAGATGGACTGCTCACCCCCACCGCCCGGGAAAACCTGCCACGGAGGAGGAGGAGGAGCCGCGGGCTTTAACCCGCCGGTCGCACGGAGAGATGGACTGCTCACCTCCACCACCTGGGAAGACCTGCTGCACCACCCAGAAGACCACCGCAGGCACGCAGCCGGCCCGGCTGCACCACGTGGCGCCATCTGGCCAGCACACGCTTGGCGCGCCCTGTTCCCCCCCCCCCCCCCGGTGCAGGTGAGAGCTGTGCCACTCAGGCGGAGCGGTGTGCAGGAGGAGGAGGAGCCGCGGGCTTTAACCCGCTGGCCGCACGGAGAGACGAACTGCTCACCCCCACCGCCCAGGAAGACCTGTTGCCGCTGCCCGGAAGACCACCACCAGCACTCTGCCGGCCCGGCTGCACCACACCTGGCCGGCACGCACTCGGCGCACCCTGCTCTACCCCCCTCCTCCAGAGCAGGCGAGAGCTCTTAATCACAGGTCGGTGTGTGTTTTCAAATGGCAACCCGTCTTTTAATGAAGCCCATGGGGAAGTGATAGGGAATGTGCTGTGATTATCAGGAAGCTTTCCATGGATCCCTCCTCTAAAAACTAGGTGTGTCTTATGGTCAGGTGCGTCTTATAGAGCGAAAAATTCAGTATATCTCCATTCCTCATTCAGTGGATTGGTTTGCAGACCTTTGAAGCGTCTAACTACTTCCTAAGTATCTGTCTTTTTTTTGCTATTCTGGTTCTAGCTGTCATGTTCATTGATGCTACACATGTACATCACTGTTTTTGCTATTTAAACTTCAAACATATCATGTGTGTGGGTTTGCTTGGTATGAGATAAGACTGCAAGGACAGGTTGTTCTTAGCTTGTTATTATAAGCTTAACCTGGCCCACTCTCAGAAATTACAATGACTGAAATAGGACAGTAGAAAAGAATACATCCTTTAAATCCATAAGGTAAGAATTAAAATGTCTGACTTTCATTGCTTTAATAACTGTGCTATGGAGAGTATTTTAAGGTTCAGGAAAGAAGACTATTTTGAAATCTCTTAGAAAACTTCAAAAGACTGGGGCTTCTGCCCTTAAAGGCAGGGTCAAATTAAGTTTAAATAAATACTTAAAGAAGGATACCTTGATAAATACATATATTTACCTCATTTTGCCATGGAATAGATACAGAGCCAGTGGAAAACTTGGAATAGAAATCATCATCAGTTTGGTCCAGGTTCACTCCTTTGACAGTTGAAAACTGTTCGATGTCCAACACATCTTTGCAGTATACTGCTCTAGGCTGCTCCAGCAGAGAGAGAGAGAGAGAGAGAGAGAGAGGGAGAGGGAGAGGGAGAGGGAGAGAGAGACTTAACATGTGGGTCAAATGTATGGTAAGTTCTAAGCATTCCTAAAGCTGATGATATCTAGATGAGTTGGGCTACAACTCCTATAATTCCTAGCATGGCCATTGGCTTTTATAGGAGTTGTGATCCAGCACATCTGGAGAGCATCAGGTTTGTGGAGGCGACATTAAAACAAGAACAGTAGCATTGCCTTGGTGAACCTATTCATTTGCATGGAAATAGCCACTATCTGTAAGGGAGCACTAAATGTATCCTTAAGTCCATAGAAAAGTGACAGAGATAATATTAAAGCATGGACTCTCTCAGCTTCAGAGGAAAAAAATATGTTTCCTTTCAACTGAAATTAAGCAAAACTTTCCCAACCCAGCTTTGCGAAAAGTTAGTAAGGTTCTAGGTCATGGGCCATCCCATAAAGGGTCTTCCCATAAAGGAGGAAAAAAGCAGGTCGCTTACCTGTAACTGATGTTCTTCGAGTGGCCATCTGTGCATTCACACATATGGGTGCAGTGCCTGCACAATGCCTAGGCCAGAAAGATTGAAAGCTAACGGTTTTTGGCGGGAAAACTCTGCTCCCCTCCCCCTTGGTAGCATATATATAGAGCGGAGTGTCCGCCATTTTCTCCAGTCCTTGGAGACTGAACGTTCACCACCTCACGGAGGAAGATGGTATAACAACCTATCAGGTACCGTCGTATCCCCTTCCGGTACCGATGCCATAAAAATATGAGGTACCGAAGCAGTATTATACAGTACCGATGACGAAACCACTCACTGACACCGAGTGGGGCTGGCGGGTGGGTTGTGTGAATGCACAGATGGCCACTTGAAGAACATCAGTTACAGGTAAGCAACCTGCTTTTCTTCGTCGTGGCCTCTGTGCATCACACATATGGGTGAATAGCAAGCTTACCAGAAATGGTGGTGGGCGGTGTCGCTATTGAAGAACAGCAGAAAGAACAGCCCTCCCGAAGGAACAGTCTCTTCTGGCACGCACGTCAAGGCAATAGTGCTTCGCGAAAGTACAAGGCGTAGCCCAAGTTGCTGCTTTACAGACATCCTGGATTGGGACACCCGCAGCGAACGCGGAGGAAGCCGACACCGCTCTAGTGGAATGGCCCCTTGGAACAACAGGTAAGTCCATCTTTGAAAGTTGGTATGCCAACGAAATGGTTTGAACAATCCATTTCGACAGCCTCTGAGACAAAACAGGTGATCCTTGGTCTCGCTCAGAATACTTTACAAAAAGCCTATTGGAGCGTCGAAGAGACTCCATGAGCGATCTATAAAAGGCTAAGCATCGTCAAACATCCAAGGTATGCAAGGACCTCTTGATCAGGTTCGACGGCAATGGAAAGAAAGCAGGTAGCACAATTTCTTGGTTCAGGTGAAACGGTGTGACAACTTTAGGTAAACAAGTTGGATCCGTCCTCAGGACCACCTTTTCCTTATGGAAGTTTAAGTAAGGCGGATCAATTCGAAGAGCACAAAGCTCACTGGCTCTACGAGCTGAAGTAACAGCAACAAGGAAGGCTGTTTTCCACGAAACGAGACGCATATTGACAGTGGCTAAGGGCTCAAACAGTGGTTTCGTAAGCACCTGAAGGACAACCGAGAGGCTCCATGTCGGCATAACTGGCCAAATAGACGGATGGAGATTCTGCAGTCCTTTAAGAAATTTCCGAACAAGCGGCTGCAAAAACACCAACAATCCTTGTACTGTAGCTCTATAATGTGACACTGCAGCTGCATAAACATTAATTGAGGAAGGTTTCAGTCCCGAGCGATGCAGGTGCAGCAGAAACTGAAGAATATTCTCAACCGATGCCGTAACCAGGTTAAATGAGCTAGATTCCATAAAGGATGAAAAACGGCACCACTTCGCTGCATAGGACTTTCGAGTTGACGGCCTTAGTGCAGACTCGAGAATCCTTACAACGTCCGGATCGAGGGAGCTCAGTCCCAACAACATTCCCGTCGGTACCGAGTCAGTGAGGGGGTCAGACTGGTCATGAGTTGAGGTACCAAGTGATCTAGTAGATCTCTGTCCCGAAACAATCTCTTGGATTAATGAATCCTCCACACAGTGAGGCTCAACGACAACAAGTCCGGGTGACGGACAGCGCTGTTTTGCTGGGTTAGTAGATCTTGTGTGGTTGGAAGACGAAGGAAATTGCCGTCCGAGATCCGAAGGAGAGTGGAGAACCATGCTTGACAGGGCCACCAAGGTGCTATGAGTATTCCTGTGGCGGCGGCATGCACTATCTTCGAGATGACTTTGGTCAGTAGAGGAATAGGTGGGAATGCATAAAACCTGAGATGTGTCCATGGGATCATAATGGCATCCCCCATCGATCGCGGTCCTATTCCCGCCCTGGAGCAGAATCTTTTGCACACCTTGTTTCTGTGGGTAGCAAATAGGTCTATGTCTAAATGTCCCCACAGTTGGAACAATCGAATGCAGACTTGGTAATTCAGTTCCCATTCGTGGGTGATCGACATGTGTCTGCTCAGGGTGTCTGCCTCTTTGTTGCCGGTCCCGGCCAGATGGACCACCAAAAGGGTTATACCTCTCGGGATACACCACTCCCAAATGTCCATGGATAGGAGGGCTAGAGTGGTGGACTTTGTTCCACCCTGTTTGTTGATATAGAATACTGCCACTATGCTGTCGGACATGATTTGTATCACTTGGTGGCGAAAAGCTACTTCGAAGGACTGGAGTGCCTTGAAAATCACTAGTAGCTCGAGGTAATTTATGTGGCTCAACGATTGTTGGCGGTTCCACATGCCCTGGGATTGAAGCCCCGCGCATACCGCACCCCACCGACCAGCAAAGCATTGGTGTATAGAGTCATCATCGGGTGAGGGGTGATGAAGGGGGTCCCCACGTTTAAATTGGCCGGGGATATCCACCAAGTCAATGTTTGTAAAACAGCGCGGGGCATATGAAGTAGTTTGCTGGGTGAATCTCTTCGTGGACGCAAGTTCTTGTTGAACCAGAGTTGAAGAGGACGGAGCTTCAACCTGGCATGTGGGACAATGGTGACTGTGGTGGCCATGTGACCCAAAAGTCTTTGTATTGAGAGCGCTGTCACTATGCGGCTTTGTTGAATCTGAGAGATACAGACGCGGAGGCTGTCCTGACGAGCTTGAGGGAGGAACACCCTTGTTACCATGGAATCGAGGCGAGCTCCGATGAAGTCTATCACCTGTGTAGAGACAAGGGATGATTTTTCACTGTTAATGCAGAGTCCAAGATTGTCCAACAGTATGCAAGCAGCCTGAACAGCTGACAGAAGGGTTTCACATGTCTGTGATACTATAAGCCAGTCATCCAGGTAAGGGTAGACTTGGATGCCCTGAAGACGAAAGTGAAATATCTGGAATAGAATCCGTGAAGCCCTTCGGAGCAGGAGATCTGTCGAATCACCCCCTTACAAAGTAGTTGTTGCACTTCGTTCACTAGCACTGGGGAGCGTGGTGTAAATCAGATCGGGCTTGACGGAGGAACGGTATCGAATTCTATTCTGTGTCCAAGCTGAATGATCGACAGGACCCACCGATCAGATGTAATAGACTCCCAAATGGGGAGTTGGCCTTGCAGCCGTTCCCCAGAAGGGAGGGGGAAGGGTGGGTATGGAGGTGGAGGAGAGGTTCACCCGTCCCATTAGCATTGACAAAATGCCGACGGTATCGAAATGTCGACAGTTTTGCGGGAAACGCTGATGAGGTTGTTGTCTTCTGCGTTGCCAGGTTATCAATCTTGCGACCCCCCTTGTCTCTAGGGGCAGTATGGCCTCTAGCTTCCCTGCCCTGGTTGATCCAACCACCACAGAGTTCGGCTTAGGATGGTGAAGTGAAAAAGGAATGTCGCTCTCTTGGACCCGATACATGGACTCGTATCTCCTCACCGTAGGCTGAGTTTGGGAAGGCAAGTCCCAAGTTTGCGTCATCGCCTGCCGCAGAGTCGTAATAAGCGGCAAGACGATTGCTGGCAATTGTTCTCCCCTGACAATGTCATAGAACTTGTTGGTGTTCGGATCTGGCTGATGTTGTGCCTTGATCTCGAGCGACGGAACAAGTCTAGACATAAGCTCACCGAAAGATATGTGGGGCTCTTCAGGCGATGATGGGCCTTGAGACGTAATAAGGCCATCCGGAGAGGTAGAGTCAGCATCCGAGTTGGAGTTGGGCCCAAGATGGTATGGCTCTGACAAGGAAGTCCCTGGTGAAGTGGGATGTTTGGGTTCGACCCACTGGGAGGTAGATGGCATATCCTCCTGTGTGGAAGGCGAGGAGCGATCCCGTGGGTGAGGACGGAATCTGAAAGAATGGTAGTCCTCCCAACCCAACTGGTAGTTGTAATAGGGCTGGAACCATCCTTCTTCCTGCCTCTTGTCCATTCGGGACCAAGGTGGAGGTGATGGAGATCAGTCTCTAGCTCTCGCCGTAGGCATAGGAGTTGGGGAACGAGCCCTTGGAGGGGAGTCCCGAATCTCTCCATCGGATATGGACTCACAGTGCGGCTCCTCAGGCGGTTGGACAGGTAGGCCCGGTTGTGGAGCAGGTTGTATTGGGGACCCTGGAGGGGTAAACTGCATCGCCGCTTGAAGCATCGGTACCGATGATGTTGGTACCGAAGCTGCCGCCGGGATCGATGGTGCTGTCGAACCCGAATCCCGGTGCCTCTTCTTATGAGGCGGTTTGGCTGCCGTATCTTTCTTCGCCTTCTTATGGGCTGAAGACTGATCCGATCCCCTGTGCTTCCTCTTTTCCCATTGTTTACGCGCGGAGAAAGAGGTTGCTGAGCCCCGGAGGGGGAATTTCCATCATCCAATGGGTGCAGCTGAGACATAGGCAGTGTGGGTGAAGGGCGTTGCCCGGACATGCCTGAGGCAGAGGCTGGGCATTGAACCGCTGCGGACAAGGCTGTGGC